TCTCTCTCTCTCTCTCTCTCTCTCTCTCTCTCTCTCTCTCTCTCTTTCTCTCTCTCTCTTTTTTTTTTTTTACACAGGGTTTGACAAGGTTAAGGATCCCTAGCTTTATTGACAAGCTATTTACAGGTTAAGGATTCCTAACTTTATTGGCAAGCTAAGAGCTGTTACCTACATCAGCTCATTTGAAAGCAATTTTTATTGTTATGAGACATACAAGTAGGGAACAGGATGAAGTTGGAGCCATCTGTGGGCCAGCATTTTCATATGATCAACTGACTTTATCTCGTTGACATCATTATGCTGTACGAATGTGCTCCATACTGGAGTCATCCTGGGTATATATGATCTCAGATGGAGTGATGTTCTGGAGAAGGGTACAACCAGAATGAAGTTGCTGCTTTCTGCCCGTCTTGTGGCATAAAAGCTTGTTTCACGCTGTCCTCGAAGTGGATCCAAGTGTGGTACTTTGACAGTATTGGCCTTGTACATAACAGTAAGACCACCCACATCCCTCCTATGTTGAAGGCTCTGCTGAAATGACAGATCTATCCAGGATGGATCCAGGCGAGAGATGAGACGTCTTGCTCTGTTCTCTACTCTGTCAAGCAGTCGCAGATGAGAGGGGGGGGGGGCAGGCAAACCAAGAAAGTGGAGCATACTCAAGGTGTGAGCGTACTTGTGCCTCGTACAGAATCTTGCAACTCCTACTGTCAAGCAGATGCGAGATATGGCGAAGTGCTGTAAGCTTCCTGGCTGCCTTGTTTGCAAGATTTACAACATAGTTCTTCATGGTTAGTTTGGAGTCAAATTTCACCCCAAGGATATCAACTTCTTCTCAAGGTGCCCACACCCTCCCATTCATCCTTACTACTGCACCAGCATTACCATCATGGTGCCTAGAGACGATCATCATTTGTGTTTTCTCAGGTGCAAATGTTACTTCCCATCTATTTCCCCAAGCTGATATAGCTTTCAGCTGGTGATTGATATAGCTTAGAGCAGCTGGCATTTCTTCTCTTGGATAAGTGAATGTCAGTGTACAGTCGTCTGCATATGCATGTGATTCTGGGATGAGATGAAGAAGGTCGTTGAAGTAGACATTCCATAACAATGGTCCCAGTACGCTTCGTTTTGGAACACTTGCCCCAATAGGATGTCTTGCTGATTCCGTTTCATTGAGAACTACACTTAGAGATCTACCATGAAGGTAATTACTGAGGAGACATAACGTAGAGCCTGCAATTCCCAGTGCTTGAAGTTTTGCTAAGAGGCCCTGGTGCCACACCCGGTCGAAAGCGCCAGCAATGTCCAGTGCTACCACACAGCTGACTTTGGATTCATCCAGTGACTGGTGCCACTTAGTGGAGAGGTTTAACAACAGATCAGCAGCAGAGTAACCTTTCCTGAAGCCATATTGACGATCACAAAGTAGTGAGTGGTAGTCAAAAAAATCTGTCATTTGTCTTGAGATTATTGTCTCAAGGATCTTACCAGTGATTGACAGGAGTGACACTGGTCTGTAGTTGCTGATTTCTGCTCTGCTCTTCTTTTTGTGAACAGGGACTACATTTGCCTCTTTCCATAGAGAGAGCCATTTACACTGTACTAGGCAGTGCTGAAAGATGCGAGTTAGAGGCGCTGCTAGCTGGTCTGCACATCTTCTCAGCAATCTTGGGCTCAACTTGTCTGGGCCCACAGCCTTTTCTTGGTCAAGTGATTTAAGAAGGAAATGCACCTCCTCCTGCCTTATTGTCACCACTGACAGTTTTGACACAGTTCTTGCAGCTAGCTAAGGAGGGTCCCTTACTGGATCAGGAACTTACTGGATCAGGAACTAGTAGAGGTGGTCCCATCCTGTCGATTTAGAGGTGGAATGAGTTCATCAGGCAGATAACCTTGTCTGTCCTTGACCAGGGACCACCAGGTTTTGGAGCCTACCCTACCTGATGCTAGCTTTCTTTTAGTGTCCACCTCCCATTTAGCAATGGCCCACTTTTGAACGTCACCCATATGCCTACAGGCTTGCCTGTGCAAGTTCCTGTTATTGGTGGTAGGATGTCTCTTATACCTTCGCCATGCTTTGTACTTAGCAGTAGCAGCCTCTCTACAACGAAAGCCAAACCAAGGCTGATCTGTAGGCTTTGTCACATATTGCCCGTGAGGAATGTGTTCTTGTTGTAGATTAAGGATGTGTCCAGTGAAGGCTTTCACTTGATTGTCAACATCCCCTTAGAGAAGAGCATTCCAATCGGTGGTGGCAAGCTCAGAGCAAAGGGCTGGCCAATTACCTCTTTCCCATAGCCATGTTGTGCGTGTGAACTCCTCACCTCGTTCTGTTGGGATCTTAAGTGTCGTAAAAACAGCCTTGTGGCCAGACGATCCAACGCAGCCGAGGGGTTGACAAGTGACTATGCCTTCTGCCAGATCACTCACTACTGGGTCAAGGGAGGAGCCAGAGATGTGAGTAGGGAAATCAACAAAGTTTCTCATGTCAAATACTGCAAGAAGGTCATCAAAGTCATTCTGTATAAGGTGTTGGTTGAGGTCACCAACAATTATGATATGTTGACAGTTGTGTTGTAGCAGAAGGGAGTCAACGTTTTCCATTAGGAAGTTGATGGGGTCTGCATGTTGCCACTGAGGTCTGTACATTGCACATGCTAGTACAGAGGTACTAGTGTTTATGCAGAGCTTGAAGAACATCATTTCAAGATGTGTAGGGGTGGCAACATCAATGTGCTGGGCATGAACACTTTTAGAGAAGCACACAGCTACACCTCCTCTTTGCCCTTGCCTGTCTCTTCTCATCCATGAGGTGTAGCCAGCAATTCTTGCAAAATTTTCTGGAGTCCTGTCATCCAAAAATGTTTCAACAACAGCTATCATGTCGGGACGTCGAGTGTTCACAAAACTATGTGTGAGCTCTCCAACATTAATAATGAAACCTCTAATGTTGGCCGACAGGATGCTGATAGACTGGCTCCTCATGATGTGGTCAGCTTGAGGTGGTGGGTGTGTAGGGCATGTAAGGTGCCTGCCCTTGAGAGAGGTAGGGTACTGAGGCAGCTGCAGGGATGTAGGTCTGTGGTCTTGTATAAGGCACAATACCACCTGCTGTGCTGGGATAGGAGTAGCGGAGTGGGTGACGTGTGAGAGTGTTCACCAATTCAGAGATCCTGCTGGTTTGTTCTGAGAACAGGTCTCTAAACAGGTGGTCCTGTCTGTCAAGTTCCTTTTTCTTCCGACACTGGTCCTCCTGATGTCCTTTCTTGTAGCAGTAATTGCACCTGGTATCTCGCAGGCAGTTGTTGGCGGTGTGCCCCTTCCGGTGACAGCGAGAGCACAGCCTAGGTGCCTGGGAGGGTGGACTATGATTTGTTGCACCTCCTGTGTTTTGCAGATTTGTCCTCAGGTTCTGCCGCTGGAACTGTGTTAGTGGAGGGCGAGACGGCTGTAGATGTCTTCCTCCTCCACGTCCTCTTCCACGTCATCTGCCCCGTCCTCTACCAGTTCTGACAGATGTGTCCCTGCTGTTCGTACTTTGGCGCAGTAGGTGATCAGGTGAAGTGATAGTTCCCTGATTATTAACTGCACCAATCTCTAGTGGAGAAACTCCTGACTCAGAACTTGCTGATGAAGCACTGCTGCCAGATTCTGGAATAGTGTCGGCACGTGTGCTGACAGGTGTAGGATCAGAGATGGTATGTGCACTGTCAAGTGGACTGGCAGTGGCTGAAGCAGAGATGTCAGGTGTAGGAGAATTAACAGATCCAAGGCTTCCTTCGTTGCTGGGAAGAGGATTTGTTCCCTCTGTGGTGGTCAGAGGAATCGTGTTAGAATTCCCAAAGGTAGTGTTTTGAACTCTGTCAGTCTGTGGGACCTTAGCGATAACAGAAGTCCACCAGTTATTTACCCCTGAGTTAAGCTCAGTGTGGGACTTCCAGTCTTTGTCAATAGTGTCACCATCAGCTGAGCAGCTTACGTCACTTGATGTAGGCTTGCACTGGCCTTCTACAATAGCTTGAAGGTTATCTAATGATTTGAGGAGCTCATGAAGTGCTTCCCTGTGATGGATTATCTTAGCTGCAACTTTACAACACAGCCCAAGAGGGCAGTCTTGATCTTTGGACAGAAGTCCCTGAGGTAGAACTTCTGAACCTTCCTCCTGTAGCTCCAGGCTTGTATCCACTTATACCACAGGATTACGGATATCCTTCAATTTTCTGAAATTTTCAACCTGGCTGCAACAAAATTCTTCTCTCTCTCTCTCTCTCTCTCTCTCTCTCTCTCTCTCTCTCTCTCTCTCTCTCTCTCTCTCTCTCTCTCTCTCTCTCTCTCTCTCTCTCTCTCTCTCTCTCTGTATCACACAATACATATTATTCATAGTTATTACTTTCTCATATTTCCATTATACACCAAATAAAATTTCATTGTCATTCATTTGCTCAATTTTTCCAAGAATTTTTATAGATTCATAGGAAATTTTATTACTTATTTTGAGCAGGTCCTACATCATTCGCAAATATATTTAATTAACTGTTATATATATCGTGCCGAATATGTAAAACTGGTCAATTAGCAAGAACTCATTTAAAATTAAGTCCTTTATAAAAATTTCCTGTTATACATTTAGAGATATATTTTTTTTCATTTATGTTAATATAAAAATTAATGATTTTGTACCAAGAGAACCTTAGGAAACTGACCTAACCGTATTATAACAAGCGCTATTTAATTTAGCCTTATCCAACTAAATATATTTTATATAAGTTTACAGTAATCTAATAATAAACAAACACAATGAAATATATTTTTTAGATTCAGAATGACTTTTCGAAATTATTGCATACTTAAATTTTCGCTTGCCCTATATATATATACGTATTGCATGTCCTTGTGGCACCTCGGTGGTGAATTTTCCTTTCATTTGGTATTACTATTTGGATGCCAGAAGCATTTGATGGTGAAGGAGTGTATAATGTCCTCTCTGATCCACACAGGAGTCGGTACTCTACGTGTACTACTGCATTGGTCTCCTCGTGTCCTCTATCCTGCTGATGGCCACCCACATCTCGCTCTTGGTGGCGAGTGGAGTGTTCTGCCTCTTCCTCACCTTCGTCTATTGTCTTGACCTGTACTTCTCCACCATAGGCATGATAAGGCGGCCTGAGTCCTTTCCTCCAAATGCTCAGCCACCCAGGGAAGCGATTGGTGTTTCTCCCTCTACCATCAGCACTACTCCAGTTATTTTAAACCCAGCCAGCTTCCCTCCCACTTATCCTGAAACAACATCAACACACGTCTTGCCGTCTTACCAGGATGCTTTGGGAAGGGATACAGTGGATATGAACCAATCTGCATTTGCCTCTTCCATTTACAGTACAAACCCCACTATTCAAGTAACTAGTAATTCCCCATATACCATCACTCGGGAGAATACAACTGGGCATCCTATCGATGGCTTTAATGGACCCCGTCCGTAACCTCTTGAACGTTCTCTACATATATAGTAACAAGCTATTTTGCATTTCTGTATACTAGAAAACCCTCTAACCATTTTTTAAATGTCTCGGAAAAACAAGCACTGATACGTCAGCAGTAGATGTAGGAGTTTGTTGCTGCTTTATTTGTCAGGAGAGTGGCGGCTCGTGTATAGGCACTGTGGAACTGCAACACCCCGTATTTTCACTCGATATTATCGATAACATTCAGTATAATGAGTCTTTTTTTTTCTTTAATTCTTTATTTATACTTGTACATTATATAATCTTTAAGCTTAATGTCAGTAGCCATCCCCTAGTACATGAAAAAAATACAAAAATCCTTGTATTGAACTGTGCGCTTCACAGTTCCAGCGACTCGGTGTTTGGCTGTGTGCATGCGCACTTGTCCGAGACAAGACACTGCACGCTAGGTAGAGAGAGCACTGTCGCTGACGCAGTGCCGACCATGTTGTGTAAGTGTAAGGTAGTGTTTCTTTTTGACTCAGCGACGTGTGTTGTGCTTAAAAACCATGTACCATATTCTTGAATATGATAAAGTGTAGAATTAGATGATTATCATGCTTCCAGCTATTTTATTTAATTTATAGTTTTTTCGGTTCTTTTATTTTACAGAAAATTTAAATAATTTAATCGTGGCCTCCTTGTATCCCCAAGAAATAAGTTCTGTGATTGTAAGTGAACTTCAACAGCGTAGGTTTTCACAGTTATCTCTCCATGAGAAAGTTAGTTAAGAAAAGAGGCCGTTCAACACCTGATATTCAACAATCTCAGCCAGGAATAAGCAACAACAGGAAGTATATTCGTAGCTTTAATTCTGAATGGTACCAACGGAAAAGTTGGCTTTGCCGCTGTGAAGTAAAGAATGCATTTTTTGCTTCCTGTGTTTGCTGCTTGTTTCGTTTTACACAGTATTAAAACAATGGCTAAAAATTTTCTGAAGCAGCATCTCCACTAATTTTAGCAACGAGCCGCCACTGTCCGGGAGAAATATAAAGATTTTCATTGACGCTGGTCTTAGTGATATGATACACCCAGTGGAGTCTGGTCATTTGACCCAGTTTTCTCACTGAATTACTGACATATCCATCACCAGTACGCCCACCATCACACAACACCCACGTCAGGAGATATTTCTCCTGGCGACGGAACTGCCATCGCCACTCATTTATACTTCTCATTTTTATTTTTGTCTTGGCAGCTCATCTCACCAACCATACAGTAATAAATTCTACCCACAAAGCATCATATACAAACAGCATCTCCTGCTGGCCGTACAGAAGCTGCAGGAGACGTTCCATCTGGCCGCCCTTCAGCATATTCCCTTATCACTGATTTTTTTTTTGTCAATATTAATGCATTTTGTAACAAATTTTCCAGTATATTTTTGTGGTAAGTATCGTTGAGTCATATTGTCAAATTATATTGACATGAACGTTGGTGATCACCAGCACCTCGAGTGACGGTAACGTTGGTGATCACCAGCACCTCGAGTGACGGTAACGTTGGTGATCACCAGCACCTCGAGTGACGGTAACGTTGGTGATCACCAGCACCTCGAGTGTTATGATCATTTGAATTATATTATGATTCTAGACTACTTATTTGATATATGAAATTATTATATATGAAATTCGAGGAATAGGATCTTCTCTCCCCCTCCTCGGATCAAACCTGATTGCCTCCTATTTCCCAGGTGTTGTATTACCCTAATTAGTTTAACTTTTCACTTTATTATATTACTATACATGGATATGTTAGCAGTAACAATTAAAGTATTTTCAAACACTTTTGTGAAAAGTGTTTTATCATTTTCCACTGTTTAAGATTTATTATTATTATTATTATTATTATTATTATTATTATTATTATTATTATTATTATTATGATGATGATGATGATGATGAAGATGATGATGATGATGATGATGATGATGATGGTGATGATGCCTGAATTTCTTATTGTAGGTTGCTATGACAACCACACGACATAAATATTGTTTCAGTAAGCCAGTTTAAAAATTGTAACTTCTCAAGGAAGGTTCCTTGATGCTGGTGAGGGGCTCTTGATCTGAGGAACTGGATCTGTGTTCAGTTCCCTGAATTAAGCCTGAATACCTTCCATCCCCCCCCATAGACGCTATGTAATCCTACGGGTTTAGCGCTTCCCCCTTAATTATAAAAATAATACTAAAAATTGTAAACTTAAATCTTTTTTTTCAAGTTCATACTGCTTTTAAATTTGTATTACAGATAAGTTCATCATCACTAGTTTTCAGGTTCCTTAAAGGAAACAAATTATTGATGAAAGAGTTGAGACTGACTCACGGTGTTGAGTCCACAACACCTCAACAGTTGCCTTAACCACCTCGCAAGGTCGATGTTGTGTATTATTTCCTTTTTTTTAGTTTAATGTCTTTATTATGGACCCCATACTCATGGTGTATGATCCTTGTGGGTTTAGCACTTAATTTCGATAATAATAATAATAATAATAATAATAATAATAATAATAATAATAATAATAATAAATCTCGACTAGTACAAGACCTTAAATGAGGGTTGGGGTTTGCCCAAGACAACTTACTCAGAAATGTTCAAGGTATGTCAAAGTGTTTTATCCAAACTGGTATATTATAGACCATTCTGGAAAAATACCCTGACTTTGCCCCCTGTTAATAAAGCATTACCACGTGTGTGTGTACTCACCTATTTGTGGTTGCAGGGATCGAGACTCCCCTCCTGGCCCCGCCTCTGTGTGTGTGTACTCACCTAATTGTACTCACCTAATTGTGGTTGCAGGGGTCGAGATTCAGCTCCTGCCCCTGCCTCTTCACTGAATGCTACTAGGTCCTCTCTCTCCCTACTTCATTAGCTTTATCATACATTATCTTAAAGCTATGTATGGTTCCTGCCTCCACTACCTCACTTGCTAGGCTATTCCACTTCTTGACTACTATATGACTGAAGAAATACTTCCTAACATTCCTTTGACTCATCTGGTTCTTCAACTTCCAATTGTTGTGATGTAGTCCACTATGCATGTGTCTCTGAAGGGAGACCTAATTTAACCAATTATATGGTCACACCTTGCCTTGGCAAATAGCTGTCAGACATGCCTTTTGGCTTAAGTCTGAGGTCTTTTGTTCTTGATGGTGTCAGATCTCGGCGTCAGGTCAAAACACGTAGTGCACACCCCATTGTGGGGGTGCTCTCGAGATCATATAAGCCCAAGGAACAGCATGATCAGGGAGTCGAGCAGAGCTCTGGTCTGTGTGCAGAGCTGAGCTGGAGAGTCTCGGGAGGAGACTCTGTTGGAGACATTGGGCAGAGTATTGGCTTGGAGCAGTACTCGGCTGTGTAGGTCTTGGGACCTGTGGCTGAGTTCCTGTGGTGAACTATCCTCTGAACTATATTGTAAGTTATATTCTGTTTCGTCAGTTGATTGTATTCCCTGTCTCACTGCTTATATGTACCATCCCCATTTACCTAAACTCCTGTTCCCAAATATATTATTGTACAAGGTCTTAATGATAAACTGTGTTTGAGTAGAATAGTAATATTCACTGTCCCCGTTATTTGCTCTTTTATTCATTATTTTATTTCAAGTAGTGAGAGGGTGAGTAGTGTAGTGGTAGGGATAATGAGAGGTGAAGGTGTAGTCACCAGTGACCTCACATTACCTCCGTGCCCGACTCACCTCTCCTGCCTACTGCCTACCACTCCGTTATTCCCCAATTATCCATACATTCCAATACCCTCCTACATGACATTGTGACCCCTTGTTTCTGTGTCCCCTCTCTGGAACATCCTGTCTCTGTCCACCTTGTCTATTCCACGCAGTATTTTGTATGTTGTTATCATGTCTTCCCTAACCCTCCTGTCCTCCGGTGTCGTCAGGCCGATTTACCTTAACCGTTCTTAGTAGGACATAACCCTTAGCTCTGGAACTAACCTTGCCGCAAACCTTTGCACTTTCTCTAATTTCTTGAAGTGCTTGATCAAGTGTGGGTTCCAAACAGGTGCTGCATACTCCAATATGGGCCTGACGCACACGGTGTACAGTGTCTTGAACGATTCCTTACTAAGGTATCGGAATGCTATTCTCAAATTTGCCAGGCACCCATATGCTGCAGCAGTTATCTGGTTGATGTGTGCTTCTGGAGACGTGCTCGGTGTTATACTCACCCCAAGATCTTTCTCCTTGAGTGAAGTTTGGTAGTCTTTGGCTACCAAACCCAATACCCCAACTAAGCCCTTCTTTCCCCTTTTCCCCGATCTTCATGCTTTGCTTTTTTGGGGGGGTTTAAAATCGAAAAGGGCCATTTTGCGGGACCGGGTTTCCCCACCTGCCCCAGGTCTTTTTTGAACCCCCTCCCGATCCTCATCTGTTTTTAAGTCTCCTCATTAATTTCCCACTTCATCGGCAAACAGGACATTTTCTGAGTCAAACCCTTAAATCAATTTTTCACATATACCAGGAATAGAAACGGGATCCTAACCCCCCCCTGGGGGACCCGGCCGCCCCCCCAAAACAGGCCCACTGTGATACCTCATACTTTAACCATGACTCTTTTGTTGCCTCCCTTCGGGTATTCCTGATCCATTGAAACCCGGCCCTTCCGTTAAAAACCCGCCTGACCTCTAGCTTTTTGCATCAGTCCCGGGTGGGGAACTGGCCCAAGGGGCCTTCTTGAAATCCAAAAATGAAAATTCAACCCACTCCTTTTCCCCTCTCGTGCCCTTTATTTCGGTTACTTTATCAAAACTCCATGGGTTTTTGTACACGTTTTCCCTTTCCCTAAATCCGTTCTGGGGGCGTTTAAAACTCTTTTTCCCCGTTCCGGGTTTCTCCCCAGGTATGTGTTTTGGGGTTTTTTCGTGTGTTTTTTGGGGGTACTTAGGGGTGTGAAGCTGGTGTAGAAATTTCGTGTGTGTATGTACCTTTTTTGGGGTTTTTTCCCCTTTTTTGTTTTTTAGTTTTTAAAAATTTTTCCCCCTTTTAAAAAATTTTTTAAAAAGTTTGGGGGGGGGGGGTTTTTGTGGGGTTTGTTTGGGGGGGGGGGGGTGTGTGGGTGGTTTTGGGGGGGGGTTTTTTGGGGGGGGGGGGGGTTGGGTGGGGGTTTTTTTGGGGGTGTGGGAAAAAAAAATTTTGGGAAAAAAAATTCCCCCTTTTTTCCCTTTTTTTAAAAAAAATTTAAAAAAAAAAAAAATTTCCCCCTTAATTTAAAAAAAACCCTTTTTTTTAAAAAATTCCCCCCAAATTTTTAAAAAAAAAATTTTTTAAAAAAAAAAAAATTTTTTTTTTTTTTTAAAAATTTTTTTTTTAAAAAAAAAATTTTTTTTTAAAATTTAAAAAAATTTGGTTTTTTTTTGGGGTAAATTTTGGGGGGAAAAAAAATTTTTTAATTTTTTTTTAATTTTAAAAAAAAAAAAAAAAAAAAAGGTTTTCTTTTTAAAAAAAACCCTTTTTTCCCAAAACCCTTTTTTCCCCCCCCCCCCAAAAAACCCCTTTTGTTTTTAAAAAAAAACCCCACCCCTTTCCTTTTTTCCAAAAATAAAAAAAAAAATTTTTAAAAAAAAAAAAATTTTTTAAAAAAAAAAAAAAATTTTAAAAAAAAAAAAATTTAAAGGAAAAAATTTTTCCAAAAAACCAAACTTTTTTCCCCCCCAAAAAAAAAAATTTGGGAAAAAAATTTTTAAAAAAAAATTTCCCCCCAAATTTTTTTTTTTTTTCCAAATTTAAAAAAAAAAGGGGGGGTTTTCCCCAAAAAAAAAAGGGGCCCAAAAAAAAGGGTTTTTGGGGGAAAAAAAAACCCCTTCCCCCCCCAAAAAAAAAAACCCAAATTTTTTTGGGGGGGCCCCCTTTTTTTTTTAAACCCCTTTGGCCCCCGGGCCCCCCCCCGGATCCAAAACCCCTTTTTTTCCCAAAAGGGGTTTTTTTAAAATTTTTTTTTAACTTTTTTTGGTTTTTTTTTTTTTAAAACCTTTTGGGAAACCCAAAAAAAAAATTTTTTTTTTTTTCCGGGGGTTTTTTTTTGTACCCAACCCCCCCGGGGGAAAAAAAAAAAGGGAAAAAATTTTTGGTTTTCTTAAATTTTAAAAAAAGGTTTTTTTAAAAAATTTTAAAAAGGGGGGGCCCCCAAAAATTTTTTTCCAAAAAAAAAAAAAATTTCGGGGGGTTTTTTTTCCCCCCCCAAAAAAAAGGAAAAAAATTAAAAAAAAAATGGTTTAAAAATTTTTTTAAAAAATTTTTTTTAAAAAAACAAACCCACCCCCCCCACAAAAAAAAACCCCCCCCCCAAAAACACCCAAAAAAAAACCACCCCCCACAAAAAACACAACACAACCCCCACACCAAAACCCCAAAAAAGTTCCCCAAAAAAAACCCCCCAAAAAAAAAACCAAAAAAAAAAAAAACCCCAAAAAAAAAATCGGGGGCCCCGGGTTTTTAAGGGGGCCGGGGGAAAAAAGGAAAAAAAGGGGGCCCCAAAAAAAATTTTTTTTTTTGGGGGGGGGTTTTGGGGGGGGGGGGGGTTTAAAAAACCCTTTTAAAGGGAAAAAAAAAAAAAAAGGGGGGGGGCCCCCCCCCCAAAAAAAATTCCCTTTTTGTTTCATGTACCAAACCTTAAATTTCTTTTTCTTTAACTGTGGTCCGGAGTTAGTTTTAATATTTTATTATGCACCCCATACCCATCCTGTGGGCGGTAGTCAAAAGATTACAGAGGTACATAATTAGTCCAGGGCTGGACTCCAAAGTTTTGATAGCTGAGCAAGTTACAGAGGTATGAACTCACAATTTACAAAGGTATGAACTCAGGTAGGTCTGGTCACAATCATGACAAGTTACAAAGGTATTTACAGATTACAGAGGTACGTAATGGGTCCAGGGACTGGGCCCCCAAAGTTTTGATAGCTGAACTAGGTACAAAGGTAATGAATTCTGTAAGAATGGTTACTTACGTTTATACATAGCTACAATCATGAACAAATTATAGTGTAATGAGCAATTCACACTTCCACACCCGGTCACAACTGTAATGAGTTATTGGTGCAAATATTGATTGTTGAGACACACACACACACACGCACACACACACACACACACACACACACACACACACACACACACACACACTCACTGACACTGACACTGACACACACACACACACACACACACACACACACACACACACACACACTGCAAGAAGGCGTTTGACACAGTTCCACACAAGAGATTGGTGCAAAAACTGGAGGACCAAGCAGGGATAACAGGGAAGGCACTACAATGGATCAGGGAATACTTGTCAGGAAGACAGCAGCGAGTCATGGTAAGTGGCGAGGTGTCAGAGTGGGCACCTGTGACCAGCGGGGTCCCACAGGGGTCAGTCCTAGGACCAGTGCTGTTTCTGGTATTTGTGAACGACATGACGGAAGGAATAGATTCTGAGGTGTCCCTGTTTGCAGATGACGTGAAGTTGATGAGAAGAATTCACTCGATCGAAGACCAGGCAAACTACAAAGGGATCTGGACAGGCTGCGACCTGGTCCAGCAATTGGCTCCTGGAGTTTCAATCCCACCAAGTGCAAAGTCATGAAGATTGGGGAAGGGCAAAGAAGACCGCAGAACGGAGTACAGTCTAGGGGGCCAGAGACTACAAACCTCACTCATGGAAAAAGATCTTGGGTGAGTATAACACCAGGCACATCTCCTGAAGCGCACATCAACCAAATAACTGCTGCAGCATATGGGCGCCTAGCAAACCTCAGAACAGCATTCCGACATCTTAATAAGGAATCGTTCAGGACCCTGTACACCGTGTACGTTAGGCCCATATTGGAGTATCGGCACCAGTTTGGAACCCACACCTGGCCAAGCACGTAAAGAAACTAGAGAAAGTGCAAAGGTTTGCAACAAGACTAGTCCCAGAGCTAAGAGGTATGTCCTACGAGGAGAGGTTAAGGGGAGAATGGTGGGTTTGGGGGAGCAGGTGCCCTGGCGGGGGCCTGTAGGGGGTTGCTGTGATTGTGGGGTCTGTGGTGTGGGGGGTGGGGGCAGAGGAAGTATGTGGGGTTACAGTGGGGGTGGGGGTTGTGGTGAGGGATATGGGGGGCAGAGGTATAAGATAAGATAAGATTTCGTTCGAATTATTAACCCCGGGGGTTAGCCACCCAGGATAACCCAAGAAAGTCAGTGCGTCATCGAGAACTGTCTAACTTATTTCCATTGGGGTCCTCTTTCTTGTCCCCCAGGATGCGACCCACCCCCGTCGACTAACACCCGGTACCATTTGCTGCTGGGTGAAAGGACAACGGTGAAAGGGGAAACGGTCAAAATGTTTCCCCCGGGCCCTCCATTTAAAGGGGGAACTTTACCAAATTTTAGATTTTGCCACCGAAGGGGCTAGTTTATTGTGCACCCCTACCCATCCTGTGGAGGGAGCGCGAGGCTATGGATACACAAAAGGGCCTAGGAACTGGGCCCCCAAAAGGGTTTTAACGGGAATACAAGGGTTTAATCAATATCTATGTTCACTTATCTGTTAAAAACAAATTTAGGAAATTTGCTTGTATATCGGTATCTTATTTTCTTTAATAAGATATCTTGACAGTCACATAGGTTTTTTTTCTGTCTGTCTCTGTATTCCTCAATAAGTGGACAATTAAGCACAAGTGTTCAAGAAGTGACCATTGCCTGATCACATAATTTAATTTATTTTGATCATCATCTTGGTCCCCCCAACTGCCAAAAGTACTTGAAACCCAAGCCTAAGCCGGGCCACTCAACATAAAGCTTCTGTTCACATTGCAAGTTGTCCATAAACAAAATTACACTTCATGTTATCATAGGGGGTTAAGATCTACTGGGGTTCTAACTCATTCCTAAAACAATCATTTTCATTATTTACTTCTCTCCAAATTTTAATTCCAAGCAAAAACACAGTTATCCCAAAGTTAATTCTACTTTCCCCTTCTCAAACTCTTTTTGGGCTAAATATCCTTTATCATAAAGGAGTAACCCAAATTTGTATGGGACCCCTAGCAATTGACTTTAAATTTCCTTTTTGCCCCTTTTTTTGAGTATCTATACCTGGCTTCCCCAATGGCATTTTGTTGGAGTCATTTTTGACCAAGACCTTCAAGATGACATAGAATCAGTAATGATGATAAGTCAAGCTCAGTGCATGGGTTAGCTTTCGCCATTGGATTGCAAAAAAAATTCA